AGAGAAAGCAAAGTGTAAACTGTTTGAATTTAGAAATGAAATTCCAAACAGGCATCACATTTATTGCATTACCTGAAGAGAAGAAAACGTTAATATACCAGACAATGCAAAAGACCTTAAAAAATACCACTTTGTAGGGGCGCCTGGGTGGCGCAGTCGGTTAAGCGTCCGACTTCAGCCAGGTCACGATCTCGCGGTCCGTGGGTTTGAGCCCCGCGTCAGGCTCTGGGCTGATGGCTCAGAGCCTGGAGCCTGTTTCCGATTCTGTGTCTCCCTCTCTCTCTGCCCCTCCCCCGTTCATGCTCTGTCTCTCTCTGTCCCAAAAATAAATAAACGTTGAAAAAAAAAATTAAAAAAAAAATACCACTTTGTCACATCTATTTCAAAAAGAACCAATTGTCAGAAAAGCATGCTGAACAAATTTATTCCTTAGACACAAATGTCTGTTTTGTTGGTGACTCAAAGTCCCAAAGATACTTATCATGAATGAGTTATGATAATTAGACATAAAACTTTTAAACACATGAAAAATAAAACAAAGCTTAAAATGAGAACTAATGAAGAAAAAAAAAGGCAAATACTAAGAAAAATACTCTAAGGCAGGCAGACTAGAGAAGGCTTGGTCTCTCCAAATGGAGCATTCATGGTGAATAGGAATGCCAATCCCCAAACAAGACCTTTCAGATTCCAAACAAAAATGCTGAGAAGTTTCTGTAACTGGAGATGGGATGGAGGAATTCTATTAGGAGTCTGTTTCAAAATAAAGTCTTAAAAATTATAACTTAAGGGGCTCCTGGGTGGCTCAGTTGGTTAAGCATCCAACTCTTGGTTTCGGCTCAGGTCATGATCTCACAGTTCAGGAGTTCGAATCCTGTTCTGGGCCCTGCACTGACAGTGTGGAGCCTGCCTGGGATTCTCTCTCTCCCTCTCTCCTTGCCCCTCCCCTCCTCTCTCTTTCTCTCTCAAAATAAATAAACTTTAGAAAAAATTATAATTTAGAACAAAGTTCTAAAAATGAAAACCTTAAAGAAGTTTTCATAATTAGTAAGGAGTATAATCCTCAACATTTTCTAAAGTTCTTATTATGGCCTAGAATACAGCCTCGCCCTTATATTAATTCATTACCTCCTCACAACAGTCCTATAAGGTCATTTAAAAGGAAAGATCTGGCTGTTAAAAGAGCTTGTTCAAAAAGCAACACTGATTTTGAACTACACTACCTGTCCCAGACAGTTCCTGGGGCTTGAGTGCATTACTGGTCATCTTGAATCCCTTACTGAAGGGAGAGCAGCACTACTTTCATCTGCATACCTATGGGTTTATACGATTTTAACACAGGAAGAAGATGGTATTATAATCCAAACCGGTCTGCAACAAGAGAAGTGTGAAACTGAGACAAAGCCTTCAGAACACTGTATATGATAGAAACATTACAATTATATAAGAAATTGTATGCCTCTTCAATGATTACACTGCATTTGGGCTTGTAGTTCATATGCCTTTTTTTCCATTTCTTTTTTTTAGGGTTTAATTTTTATAAATATATTGGTCTGCAATAGGATGGAAATTAAACAAGACCAAAAACTAGTCATCTACCAGATAGCTGGAGGAGCACTGCCCTAGAGCTCTGGTGCGAACAGCTTGCTCTCTGTTACCAGCTCTGTGGCGAAGAGGAGACGTGCTCAAGTAAGTAACAATCCTCAGATAACCCATCTAACATCTCACTTCGGTCATGGCTGTTAACTTCATTCATCAGTCAGAGCACTTGCTAAGCTGGGTTAATTCCAGGTAACGTTAAGTTGTAGGCTCTTCACCTACTTACATAGCATTTTCTTTCAGAGCCAAAGAAAACTGCTCGTTACCAACTGAATCTAACATCGTAAGATAGTACTAACCTAGTGGTTCCAACTCCTTTACCAGATGGGATTTCATTTGTGTAAGGCATGCTCTGGCCTTCTTTACAACTTTAGTTTTTCTCCTTCCCATATGCTGAAGAACAGAGCATCTTCAGCATCAGTTGCTCATAAGTATTTTCAAGAATCAGAGATTTTGGGGCGCCTGGCTGGCTCAGTCAGTTGAGCATCCAACTTCCGCTCAGGTCATGAGAACATGACTTGTGGGTTCGAGCCCCACATCGGGCTCTGTGCTGACAGCTCAGAGTCTGGAGCCTGCTTCAGATTCTGTGTCTCCCTCTCTCTGCCCCTCCCCCGCTTGTGCTCTGTCTCTCTTTCTCTCTCTCAAAAATAAGTAAACATTAAAAAAAAAAAAGGAATCAGAGATTTTCCTTTCCTTCATTTTAGAAATCACTTAGGCATAAAGGAAGCAAGAAAGAAGTTACAAAAGCATCAAGAAAGTTGGTCTAGGGGCAAGGAATGCCGAAGACAGTGATGAGATCATGGTCACATAAAGCTGGATGGTCAGATACAACAGGTAGGCACCACTGCTGCAGCAATTTTCAGGTTACTTAATTTTAACTCATTTCTAAACACTAATTTTGCCATAATTAATGGGTTTTTGAACTTTTATTCCTGTCTGAGAAATTCTAAGGGGAAATACTGTATTGAATAAAAGCAGCAGCTAGATTAAGAACATGAATAAAAAGCATATGTTTCCATATAGATGAAAGTGAACTGTAAAATAAATTAGATTGGTCTTTTTATTTATAATAATGCTAGTCTCTAAAAAAAAGCCAGATTTCCTTAAAAAGTAAAGTTGTTCAGGGGCTCCTGGGTGGCTTAATTTGTTAAGTGTCTGACTCTTGATTTCGGCTCAGGTCATGATCTCACAGTTCGTGGGTTTGAGCCCCCACGTCCGACTCTGTGCTGGCATCACGGAACCAGGTTGGGATTCACTCTCTCTCTACCTCTCTCTCTGCCCCTCCCCCGCTCATGCTGTCTGTCTCTCTCAAAATAAATAAATTAACTTAAAAAAAATTTTTAAAGGAAAGTTGTTTAGCCAGTATAGAAGCTTAGGAACTATTTGCTAAAGGTAGAAACTGCTTTCCAGCCTCCATGAATGAAGTTTAGTTTTTACACATTTATCATCTCACTAGTTTCATGATACGTCAATACATAATAGTATAATCTGTCTAGAAAAAATGCTTAATTTCCAGAAGATAAAAAAAATCAGTTGAATTCTAACATGTCTAAGTTATATATAATTTTCATTTTTATTCTACGAGCTCAAAATGGACTGTGCCTGCTGTAATAATAAAAGAATATCATGAATGTTATTTATAGCATTTTAAGGCCTACAGCTGGAAAAGACCACTTGACCATCAATTCAGATAGCCATAAATGACATGTCATACTAATTATCTTTATTAATGGCTTGGTTAATTACACCACTCATGTACACATTTCCTTTCAGTGAAAAAGAAGATAGCAGATCGCATATTGCAAAAACCACTCAAGATGGTTCAAGAAGATACTGAAACTGGAAAAGTTCTCAGCACTTTATACAAATAAAGTTTCATTAATCTCTTATTTGAAGACATTATAATTTTTGATAAATGCTACCTCAGTTAAGTTTTTAAATATATACGCCAACTTAAATCTCACAAATATTAGCCCTGATAAGGCCAGTTCAATTCTAATGCAGTTAATAGAAAATATGGTTCAAGGCAGAATAAAACAGGCTTACAAAGTACTGGACAGCAGGTGGCCCAAATGAGTGAAGCAGGCTTCACAGCCAAAGACCTTAACAATCTACCACTGCTCAGCTCTAGCCAACTACTGCCTTCAGGGAATACAGACAAAAAAAAAAAAAAAAAAAAAAAAAAGCAGTAACAACCTTAAATACTGTGCTAACCTAACAAATTAAGTCTGTGGGTTAGGTTTGGTCTATCAGTTTGCTCTCTCACGAAGCTCTTTCAGGACTGGCGGTGAAACTGGGCCTATTTTACTGCTGAACCCCCAAATACTCATGAAATCCTGTTCCTTCCAAATGTAATGGGTTTTCTCCCCTAGATGTCTGAGCACTGTGCATGCTGTCAACTCTTTATGAGGAACTTATCCGCACTTTTAACTGAACAACACCTTTCTTCCCCACTCATTAATGTTTGTGCAAATGAGGACAAATGTACAAATTAACCAAAATGTCAAAACATATTAACAAAAATTTCATTTCTAAGTAAAGATCTGAAACAACTTCAAATATGCATTCCAATGCTCTCTTTCTTTAAAAGGAAATGTGAGTTAAGAACAATCTAGTTTTCTTATCTTCATTCGTTAGCATGAATTCATTTTTGTATTAACAAAAAACTAATTCAAAAAACCAGAAAATTTTGGATTCTAATCCAAAAAAATTACCTCTCCCCCCAAAAAACTATGCTTCATTTCCTCAAAAAGATAAAGTATATTGATTTCAATGCATACAGACAAATAATATTCCCCATTTATGTTCCTTGATAGCAATCTGGAAACTTGATTCCTTGGAACCTCTGGGAATCCAAAGAATGTTATGGTACCTCTTTCCAGGAAAATGTGCAGAGTCCTAAATTTTTGTATGCAATTTCACAAGGTTCAGAGTACCCCAGGATCTTCAGTGGCTCCACCCACCCCAAGTTAAGGGCTCTAGTGCCTAAAATGAGGTTTGTTCCTATTATGAAATGTTATGCATCTTTTTTTTTTTTTAATGTTTATTTTTGAGAGAGAGAGAGAGAGAGAGAGAGAGAGAGAGAGAGAGAGAGAGAGATAATGAGGAGGGGCAGAGAGGGAGACAGAATCTGAAGCAGGCTCCAGGCTCTGAGCTGTCAGCACAGAGCCCAACGCAGGGCTCCAACCCACCTAAAGTGAGACGATGACCTGAGTCCAAGTCGGACGCTTAAGCGACTGAGCCACCCAGGCGCCCCATGAAATGTTATGCATCTTTTAAAAAGATAGTTTTTCCTACGAAGATCTGTAGCTCTGAGCTTAATTAAGGAAACCGCTTCCCTTTACAACTGTCAGTACTTCCTAGCAGCCATCCTGACAACTGACAGAAAATTGAGAATTTCTTACCTCGGAGAAATTAACAGCCAAGGGCACGATTCCAGCCACGTAACATCCCACTAACATAGCCAGAGACAGCAAACTAATGGAGATGAAATCATCCATTCTGTCCTCCTTTATTTACCCACCGCCACCAGACTACAAATTTTCAGAGGCTTCAAAGGGTGCTTAGGTTCTTAAACGCGTGTGGTGATTCCAAGACAAGTGGACTTTCCAGTTTTTTCGTCCTCCTCACCAACAGATGTGTTCACGAAACCCTTCTCTGGAACGCACCTGAAAACAGTCCCTTTTTGCTGATATTAGCACCAGAGAACTTTCAGCAATCTCAGGTCCCAATCCCTGTTTTCAGACGCCAGTCACTGGATTCCCTAGGGTTAACAGTTAAAGGTATGCAATGGGCGATTTCTTCAATCGTCGGAATGGTGGCACAATGGACCCACTCCCTCCACAACGTCCCAGGTGGCAGCAGGAAAAGGAGGAAAACCCAAGCAAACTTGTTCGTCCTCCCGGCTCCCCTACCTCCTTTGGGGCGGTTCTCGCCAGCCTGGGACCAGCCCACCAGTCCCGGCAAACTCTCCTCCGAGTCTAGAATGGGGAAAGAGTCCTGCAGGTCTCTACCGATGGGCTTAGGGGTTCAGCAGCGAAGGTGATACAAAGCTGTCTCTGCCCTATACCCGATACTGCCCATGTTACTCCACTCCGCTGGGCCTTGACCCAGAGCCACCGATACTACAGCTGCCATGGCCGCCAAGTGGCACCTCTTCATTACATCCACTTCCGGATTGCTTCACCGCCCCCTCCTTTAGAAGAGTACTTCCGGGTTACAACCGACCTATAGCCCAAGAGGCTTATGCTACCGCCATTTTTGAATAGGGCCATTGAAAGATATCTGGAGTCACAGTCTATATCGGTGATCACTCTAGGCGCCTGTCCAATAACAAGAGTACGGAAGACCGCGTCTTGAAAAGAAATGATTATTTTTCAAGTTCTGCAGCAATTCCCTGCGCACCCCATCGCCCTTATCCAAGATGGCTGTGACAGAGTCAGTATCCACTCTAGCTGCCGGAAATGTGTGCGCCTCTATGGCCCCAAATGCTCTTTCGCGGTGCGTTTCTGACGACTTCCGGCGGCTCCTCTCGCGGGGATTGGCTGTTGGCGGCTTTGCGGCTAAGCTCGTGTGCGGCGGCAGTGTCGGCAGCGGCTGCAGCGAGAGAGTTTGGCGCGATGGTGAGAAAGGCCCCCGCGGCTCCCCGATCCCCCGGCCTCTGGGGCGATCCCAGCCCTGTACATCTTCTCCCCGTCTCATCCAGAGCGAGCGTGCAGCTCCACGGCCCTCCTGGTCGTGGTTCGACCTTTCCCCTTCCCGCCGCGGAGAGGCAGGGCCTGGCACTAGGCCCCGGAGCCCGGGTCCGCCCTGCGTTTGCGCGCCCGCCTGTAGGCTCCGGCGAGGCGTGCGGTGCGGAGGATGCACTTTCTCCCAATTGCTGCTTGGTAGAGGCAGGCGTAGACATGCTGCTCTGTCCCACCGGATTCTCTGGCCGAGTGCAGGAACAATGGCCGAGGGATGTATGACAAACCTGTTCCCAAAGCTGACAGATGCAGCGTTCTGCACCCAGCGTGTGGGCCGGGAGGGGTCGTCTTTGCTTTGTAGTGTGCTTCTCGGCTATTTCCTTTTGTTTTTCTGTGCTCTGTCTTTAAGTACACATAGAACGTTTTTTCTCTTTTCCAAGATTCCAGATGCCCGATTTGGCGTTTCTCCCAGCCCTCAATCCTGTTCTTACTCGTAATTTACTCATAATCTCTTGGGACTGAAGGCTGAAAAAGATAGGCTCAGCTGGGAGTCGAATCAGGGTGGTAGTGGAGTAAGTGGGTATTTTGATTGTGTTTTATATTTTATTCCACCAAAAAGATGCTCCTAGGGATTATGAGGAATCATGGTTACTTCCACACTTCAGCTTTCGTTTTCTGATTGCTGCAGTTACTGTTAACAAGTTATGCAGCCGTTAACAGCTTTTTAAGGTTGTACTTTTTAAAATTGAGATGTTTTAGTGTTTGGTTCCACATAGTTTCCCAGAGAGGACTAGGAATTAGAAGACTGGGTTTCCAGTTCCTGTTTTGTCATACTAGCGATGTGACCTTAGATCTTTTACTCTTGAGTTTTCATTCAGTGCTTTTTAAGTCACTACTTGGTATTGTGTTCAAATACTTAGATTAAAATCCGAGAAAGTAACAGCAGTTAATATCAACAACCCATTCTCTGTTGGGCAAATATCAGTGATAATTCCTTATCAGTCCAAGTAGCATTAAAAATTAGAATTTGTATATGAATCAAACAATTATTGGTTCAACAATCTTAAATACTTTTGCTTTATCAGGGATACAAGTTTCAGCTTTGGATTTTTGGGGGGGTTCGTTTGGGAGGAGCATTTGAAGCTAATGAGCAAGTCGTACATAATATTTCTGTAGCAGGAGAATGATTCTTAAGAGTTCATGTGTGTGAGACTTTAAAAAAGTTAGTAAGGCTGGGGGCGCCTGGGTGACTCAGTCGGTTAAGCATCCAATTTTGGCTCAGGTCATGATCTCACAGTTCATTAGTTCGAGACCCCACATTGGGCTCTCTGCTGTCAGCATAGATCTTGTTTTGGACCCTCTGTCCCCCCTTTCTCTCTGCCCTTCCCCTGCACACATTCTCTCTTTAAAATGAATAAACATTTAAACAGTTAATAAGGCCAGATTATTCATTAAAGTGATTCACCTGTGCTTGGCAATTAGAATAAGGATTTTATTAAGGTAATTCTGCATAACTTTTACTGATTTAGGTTTTATAATCTTATTTTTCTATTGTGGGAAGTTTGAATATATATATGTATATATATATTTGTTTTTATGTGCTTATATTTTGCATATATATTTATCTTTGTTTTTTAATAACACAAAAGGGCTTCAAAAATAGCTCCAGTGAAAAGAATTGTGACTAAAACTGATTTGGGAAGTTTTATGATCTTGAACTGTTGACAGGAAGGCACTACCACTTAAAAATAATACCTATTTTTGCCTGTTTTATTAAGAGGGCATGAGCAGGGGAGAGGGGCAGAGGGAGAGGGAGAGAATCTTAAGCAGGCCCCACGCTCAACGCAGAGCCCACAACCCTAGGATCATGACCTGAGCTAAAATCAGAGGAGTTGGACACTCAACCAACTAAGCCACTCAGGGGCCCCAAATAATACCTGTTTTGACTACAGCTTTGTAAATGTAGTTTTTTGTTCTTAGTAGTTTTTAATCCTTGTCTTTGGGTAGTAAGTATTGAAAATAGTGAGATTTGTCAGAGGTTCATTTTAAGATGTAAGAAGTAACATACTGAGTAGTCGTTTCCATATTTTTATTCTCTTAAGTAAATTAGTCATTGAATTTGCATTAGGGTAAGAACAAAATTAATGTAGTAGCCATTAGTATGGCTAATGTACCGAGCAGGTGCTACTGCAGGAATGCTAATGTGGTTTCTATAAAATTATTTTCTTCTCAACATGTGGCCCATTGAAACTAGTTTTTTTGAGTAGGTGGCTTACAAAAACTTCTATGTAACAAATAATCTAATAAACTGCTTTCTCTGGTTTATAATCCCTATTTAACAAAGGCCTTGACTGTTACGGTCATTATAGGTGAGAATTACCCTTCATTTCTTGTCACCAAGTTCTATTTTTATCTCAAATCCTCAAACTTTTCATAAGAATGAGTTCTTGATGGAGAGGGAGGATTATGAGCAATTCCTTTGCCTTTTTTTTTTAAGTTATTTATTTTAAGAGAGAGAACCAGCAAGGGAGGGGCAGAGAGAGAGAGGGGTACAGAGGATCCAAAGCAGGCTTTGCGCTATCAGCACAGAGCTGGATGTGGGGCTTAAACTCACGAATCATGAGATCATGACCTGAGTTGAAGTCGGATGCATAACCGACTGAGCTACCCAGTCACCCCCCTTTGCTTTTTTTTATTTTTTTTTTAAATTTTTTTTTTTTTTTCAACGTTTATTTATTTTTGGGACAGAGAGAGACAGAGCATGAACGGGGGAGGGGCAGAGAGAGAGGGAGACACAGAATCGGAAACAGGCTCCAGGCTCCGAGCCATCAGCCCAGAGCCCGACGCGGGGCTCGAACTCACGGACCGCGAGATCGTGACCTGGCTGAAGTCGGACGCCAACCGACTGCGCCACCCAGGCGCCCCGCTTTTTTTTATTTTTAATGATGTTTTTCTTTTCCTTTTTTTCAAATGTTTATTTATTTATTTTGAGAGAGTTCACGTGTATGCAAGTGCAAGGGGAGGGGCAGAGAGAATCCCCAGCAGGCTCTGCACTGTCAGCCCTAAGCTCCACCTGACTTGGGACTTGATCTCACCAACTATGAGATCTTGACCTAAGCCAAAATCAGAAGTCCAGTGTTAACCGACTGAGCCACCCAGGCACCCCCCTTTGCTGTGTATGTAGTGTTCAGAGTACTGGTTTTTGGGTTTGTTTTGTTTTGTTTTCTTTTGTTTTTTGGGGGGGTGCCTATCCGGAAACTCTAGGCTTTGTCTATTTCCGTGTTGATTGTTAAAAATTATCATTTCAAAACATTTTGGGGGGGCCTGTCATAAAGGATTTTTGCGACCCAAAAATAATAGTACAGCAGAGGAGAAGGTTGTCATAGTTTTGCCCAGGAGACAGGGGGTTCCAGTACTACTGGTATTTAGTGGGAATAGGCCAGGAATGCTGCTGAACATCCTGTGGTACACAGGACTACTTCCACAAGAAGGACCCTTCCACCCCAAGTTGTAATAGCACAGAAACTGAAATAGACCCACTAACGAAAACATGTCCCCTCAGTGAGCATGCGGTGGAAGATGTTAAGTCTATTTGCTATTCTTCAGGCATATTCACATTTGTCACAGTGTGATCATCTATTTTGTGTGATCCTAGTGGTTAAAAACATAGGATTTTGAGATAGCATAGGCTTTTAAGGTGAGTCACCTACCGGGTGAATAGTTCAATGGTTTCTCTAGGGTAACGTTAACTACATATATTAATTTTGTACTGCCAGTTTATCTTCTGCCTTCACGTTGGAGTCTAAGGCACGGAT